AGCGCAGCACCCCAAATCCGTATTGGTCCTTGCCGTGGCTGATTCTACTCCGTGGTTTAGGTGGTCATTGCCTGGTTCCATGCATGTTGAGAAGCACCCAATCGGGTTCATGAGCTGGTGTTCTTTTCACGGGGAGGGCGACGAGCACATGCGCAGGGCATGCTGACGCACTAGGGGTTATTGGGGCCGAAAATCCCCGCCTTGCATTATTCTGAACTTGAACTATGATTATTATTGATCACTTGGTGTTGGCCCTATAGTAAGTAACAATCAAGGGGCAGACCCAGCGCGCAGACCCACGTACCACACATTTGGAGATTTCAGCCAGTGTATGTCGGGGCCACCATTGCGATTTCATGCACTAGCTGCTACTCACTGTCACCAACCCACTCCCCCAAGTTCGTACTGCACAATGTAACCTATTGTCAGATTGGATGCTACCAGGCATGGTTTGCCTTTTCCACTGGAAACCCTTTTCAAGGGAGGCGGTTCATTTCAGTCGAAAAGGCAAACCATGTTACCAGGTGTCACCATTCAAATCACCAAATGGGGGCAGAAGCTTTGGCATTGCTTCCGGCTTTACTTCTGCAAGGCCGACGCGGACACCGAGAAGCAGACGTGGTGCGCTTCCGAGCTCAAGGCCAACGAGAAGAACCGCAGGCACGTGGCGGAAGATGTGTGGGTGTACGCTTTGTTTAGGGGAACTTTCTTTTGTTTTTGTTTGAAATACATAAGAGACACCACATGTAAAACACTCCTTTTGTCCATTTAAGACCCACATGGTGGGAAATCGTCAGCCTTGGGAATCCATCATGGCTTCTGTCCCAAAAGTAGGGAGGTACTAGCATGCTTTGAATGTTCCTTGTAGTTTGCCTCAAAACCAAAATGGTGTTCCCCAAAAAAAGACGTGCCCGTAGATGGTTGGGCTAACCTTACCAAAATCCAAGAAGCACACCCTACCCACTGTTTGCGAGTGGCGGGGGTTCCCTTTGAACTGATAAACATCACAGACAAGGAATATACTCTGTGCTTTCCATTGGACCACATCTAAAGGGGTGCTAATTTTTTGTTACCCCTGGAAGGGTGGTCTAGCGGGCTCCGACTTGCACCAAGGGACAATCATGTGGGCGTCGCATCTGAAGCACATTTGTCATATTCAACGGGTCCCTCAAGCTCACTCCAGTTGGAGCAACTTCGCCCAAAATTTGGGACCAAACTGAGGGCAAGCGGCGCTCGCAGGGCCAAGACGGTGCTGGTGGATGGGCTGAACGCAGACATCGACCGCCTGAACGCCTCCATTATCTCCTTCGGCGAGGCGAAGGTTTTCCTTTTGCTTGGCATCGGAAGCTTGCAACTCACAGCTGAGTGGATTCTCCCCGTGGTTCCTCTCGTTTTTTTTTTTTTTTTTGGGGGGGGGGAATGGGAATTGGGGGCAAGGCAGCGTTCCCTTAAAAATCAAGCAAAGCGCCACAAAAAGAAGGCGCCTTTTTGTTTTTCCTTGGGAGTGGTGTCCAAACTCAAGGAGCAACCAGCGCCCATGTCCCTTGGCTGAGACTTTTCCCTTTGCGTTCCCCTGAACCCTTTTTGGCGGGCCAACAAAACCTGGCTTGGGTAGCACAAGGTAAGGCTTCTGTGTTGTTTTGGTTTCGTTTGAGCACGCGCGGGGCAAGTAGACGCCGCAACAGAAACAACAGCCCCCCTTTTAACGACTCCCCGACTGCCGGACTCGGAATTGCTGAGATGTATTTGGGCTTACGACTTCAGAATGGTCAACCGAGGTGGCCCCTTGCAGGATCCTTGTTGTTTGTTTGTCCCATGTTCAGGTCGAATCATTAAACAAACAACACGGGAGAATTACGGAGAATATGAGGCCCCCCAAAATTGATTTGGCTTCTTTTGAGTGGAGTTCGGGAACTCCCCGCGGATTGACTGGCGGGCTGATGAGTTGTCAACATGGGCGAAGATGGGGATTGGCTACTAAGACAGCTCACTTTTGGGCCGTTTGCATGACTGCTGAGGCAACCCTCACTGCCACTAGCACTTGAAAGGCCACCGGTCCTTTTCATACGTGTTCTGGAATTTCTGCCTTCGGATCCATGCTGGTTTTTGAGGCGGTGATCTCAATTTGCCCAGCCGAGAACAATCAGGGAAGGGGTCAATGGGAACCCTAATTCCAGCAGATAATCCGGAGGTAGGTGGACGGGTAGACAGATCCCACAAGTAAAAAACGTTTAATCAATGAGCCACGAAAAAGGGTGAAGCACTTCGCTTTGCTTGGCGCGCTCTTTCACCGGACTCCAAACCCGGGCTTTGAACAATGGCCGCCAGGATATCGTCTCCATTCAGAAGGAGCTGGCCGAGACAGCCCAGGCTTTTGGGTTTTTTTGCTCGTGTTTCTTTTGTTTAGGGGGGTCCTTTTTTTTGTCAGGACCCCCAATCTGTTTGTTTGGACGAACACACCATGAAGCACAGGTTGAGGTTGGAACACCGAACCGCCCCCCACAGGGTCACTTGAGATCCGTTCAACCCCCCCAAAAGACTTTATTGGCTTTTCGCGTTCCTTCACTCTCCCTTTCAAACAACGGTAGCCCGCTTCACCTGAGATCCATTCAGCAAGAACCAGACAGAAGGCCGTGCCTTTGGCAACTCTTTACCTTGTCGTTTCATGCTTATTGAACCAGCGGAAAGTCGTTGGGTCGAAGTGTGGCCAAGTTCGATGCCCGCCACCAAGCCCGAAAAAAAGGGAGCCGGCAAAGGCAGAAATGACATGCCGAAGGTTTGGAGTGGGTCGAAGGGTTGGCTTGGGGCGATTTTTCAATAAACCCTTCATATTTTGAAAGGACCTCAAACTTGGGGGGCGGGGGGGCGTCCCAGTTCAGTGAGTTTCAGCCTCACCACAAATCGGTCAACCCCTTCCTCTGCGTGTTCCGCTGACCTGGCGCTCGAGTCATAGTTGAACCCCGCATGGAACAAACGTCGACAGTGCACCTTTCAGCCTGTGGCTTATTTCTTTCTCCCCAGGGCCCTTCCTTGGCCATGACAGGTAGCTCTTTGGTTTCTATGACCAAAGTGTCCTTCGTGACATATCAAAAGGCAAGATTCGTGAAGCAAGTAGAGGACACATCAGCTCTTACCCATCCAATGCACACCCACCTTACCCCGAATTCAGCTCCCTCTCTTTTTTCGCCGCGGCACTCTGCTCCGCTCGCTGCGGTCCCTGGCCGCCATGGCCCGGCGAAGCCTGGCGTCGGCGAAAGCGCTGCTCCTCGTGCTGTGCTTAGGCCGGGAAGACGTGTCTCTTGGCTTTGAAGGGACGTGGGGCATTCGCGGAAACTTGCTGGTGCGAAACATGTAGGGAATGAGAGATGGAATGACCCCCGAAACAAAGCATCCAAATGGTGGTTTCCTTGAAGCGGGAATCCCCGAATGACTCATTCCCACATTCCTTACCTATCGCACCAGCAAGAAAATTGGGGGACACCCGAAGTTGCTGGATGTTCCGCCCCCTTACCACCCTTCTCACGTGAGCTCGGCATGGTACACATTGGCCAGTCATGGCCACTTGGGTGTGTGGTGTTGGAGGGTATTCTTTTAACCTTGGTAAAAAAAAAAAAAAAAACACGCAAGGGGGGGGGGGGTTCAACACGAGCTTGTCGTGTAGGTCCTTTACTGTGGGAATCCCTTATTTCAGGGTTTGGAGTTCTTGTAGATTGTAGAATTTAGAGATACGTGCATGTAGGGACGCTAAAACGGGTTTTCATAAACGGGCTCCAGCTTGCACCAAAGGACCTGTATACCATCCCAGAGCCGGCCCAGAACCCATTTGTTAGAACCCGTCTAGGGTCACCCGAGTATATTCTCGTAAATACTGGTGTCGCCTCCAAGCCTATTTTACGCTTGAGAGTAGACTAAACAGAATCAGAAGATACTGTGGATGGTTGCAATATCTATTTCGCACCGTTCAGAAACCCAACGAATTGATATGAGATTCCCCTAGGTTGCTACAGAACGTTACGGTCGCAACCGTGGTTTCAAAGTGGTGCGAACGGATGTTGCAACCATCCACAGTATGTTCTGGTTCTGTTTCATATTGAGTCGACCCTAACACATTAAATAGGTTTGGAGGAGACACCACTATTTACCAGTCTATGTACCACTATCTACCAGTGTATGTGATTTTCTGCGCAGAGTTTTGCGAAGAATGCTGCTTTGCATTGGTGGGAGGCGGCTTGGCCTGGGTGGGCCCCCGCAGCGCAGGCAGGGATGAGGATTTTGTCGCGTGTTTTTTTTTTGGGGCCGGCCCTTAAAAGGCCCCTGAAAGTGGTTGTTTTCAGGGTGCTGCACCCCTTATTTAAGCTTGGTTTAAAGGGAATCGAAAGGAAAGGCGCTCCTTGTTTTTTCCCGTTCTTTGGTTTGACCTGTGGCACGGTTTGCTCAAAGTGGCGATCCAGTTGGCCAATTCATTGGTCTTGAGCTTGTTGGTTCAGTTGGTGCAGCAAAGCTTGTAGACCTTGTCGATCAAATGGATCACGTGCAAAAAAGTGCCCCTAAGGTACAAAGACACCCGCCTTTCCGGATCCCTTTGCCCGGTTTGCCAGACCAGGAAAAAATAGAAAGGTCCCGGAAACGGCTGAGGCTGGCCCTACGGGTCCCATCATTCTTTCCGCTTGAGGATCCCTGAGAACGGCCTGAAAAAGACACCAAGCAAAAAATATGTCCTCGTTAGACATACCATCATCAATTCTTCCTAATTTTCTACTCCCTCTATATTTTAAGGTCCCGACCCCAAGATGGGGGGGGGTTCTAACAGCGCGCGGGAAAACCTCCCTCTTTCGCCTCGAGGCCCTTCTGCGCGGCTCCAGAGGACGGGCCTTTTGGCTGCAATGTCCAAAAGGTATCCTCGAACGAGACACCCATGTAGACTGACCCGAGTCAGACGCGTATGAATCTTGCCGGAAACAAATGCTCAGTAGGGGCAGCCCTCTCGACAAGGTGCGAAAGCCCATTTGAGTCTATAAGTTTAGGTGGACTGCTTTGGTACCATGTTTTGATTGTGGCTCAAGTAACCCTCACTTAGGGGGTTTTGAGTGGACCTCACCTTCGGACAATGACACTTTCCCGACTTACCAGGGGGTTGAGTTTGGCCCGCCCAGCATTGTTCCCTATTTGTTTGAGTGGGTTTTCCGATTCATGATCAAAAAGCTCACTTTTTTGGGGCGGGTTTCTCTCGCGTGGTTCCTTCTGGTCTGTGAATGGTAGGGCTCCTTGGGCCGGCTGCCTTCGGCGGGCTGTAAGAAGAAGGGAAGCCAAAAGGGAAAAAGCGCGAGACCACGTTCAGAGGTCTGATGCAGTGACCCGTGTGGCAGACGGCGCTGGAGTGGATAGAGGTATACCTGAAGCAACTGATAGAGATATACTTGAAGCAACTGACACCATGATTGGCAATTGGTACTTAAGGGGGTCATCGGGTACTTAGTAAGTGTATAGTAAGCCCGGATATAGCCCAATGAACGGAGACTTGTAACCATGAGCTTTGTGAGTTGTTTCACCAAGCTTACTCTCCACTGTCTAAGTACCCGATTGCCCCTTTAAGTAGTCCAGCTTTTCAAGGCGTTTTGAGAGAAACACTTTGGGCGCCTTTTTGGATGGATTTGAAAGGGGGTCCGGAATGTCTAAAGAGCACGAGTCACTGACACCAATTGGCAGTCTGCTGTTGGCTTAGGACGGGTAGGGGGAACGGACCCCTAGTTCCCCACAAAACAAGCATACCCTCCCAGGGAAACCTGACACATCTTGGAACTTACTGCATCTGAGTAGGAGTGTGTCCTTTGGAGGGTACCCCTATGTTTTTGTTTTTTGGGTTTGCAATAATCGCAGTGATTCACGGCCTTTAACACAGGTTTTACCAAGCTTTGCACACGGGAGGACCCCTAAAGCTCACTTCCGTTGCTGGACTATGAACTCTTTGGGAAGACTACTTTAGGGGAAGCACAAAGTGGGGACTCTTTTTGCAGCTCAAAAAGTGAGAAAGTGTAGTGTCACTATGGGCCTAAGCAGCTCAAGAGTGAAAGCTGTTTCTGGAGCCGCTTCGGGCCAGCTAGGTGATCCTTGCTGGTGGTGGTTTTTCTTGCTGGTGGTCTTATTTGTCGGGGTGTCTCACTGCGGACTAAAGACGGATTAGGATTAGGGATCCCCCCATTTTGAAGAGCCCGGCTGAGCGGTACAAAGTCTTCCGCAAAGTGGTGCCTGCTTTTGGTGGGAGCTATCACTAGGGCCTCCAGCGGCGGCGCCCCTCGTTTGTTTTTCTGAGGGAGTTCCCTGTAAATGAACCATATGCCTAAAGATATGAGGGCTTTGTTTCCTATGCCCACTTAAATCAACCATATGCCAACAAAACATGAGTGCCCTTTCTCCGATCACGACGGTGGGACTGTCCATTTCCCGACCCAGGGCTGGCGGCGGCGGACCCTTTCGCGGGCATGAGCCAAGAGGAAGGGCAGGGTCCCAGGGTGAGGCGTACGTGTTTCTCAAAAGCAAAGGACCACATTTTGCTTGGTATTGAGAGAAGCAAAAGGGAACCCAACCACTTTGGGGGACCACTATTTGGAGAAGTGCCGCCAGACCTAACACACCTTTCTGCCCTTTTGCCCTTCTTGGTATTGAGAGAAACAACGGGAAACCCACCATTTAGTTGCCAGACCTAACGAACATTTCCCTTTTGCCTTGTGGGCATCCTTGGATTTTCCGTGAAGCTTGGACGCCTGGGTCCAATTCATGGGCAAGCTTTCAGGTTGGTGAATCATTTGTCCTGTTTAGGTGGGGGTGTTTCATTTGTTTGGAACCCCCAAAAATGGGGTGTTGTGTGGCCTCCCTGAAATTCACAGACCCATAGTAGTTTTTCTCTTTTGTCTCTGTTGTGGTTTGGATTCGGTGTTTGGTGGTTGGAGGGTGGTTTCCCATGTACCCTCTACAAAGCCAGGGGTTCAATTCCCGAAACCACCAACGAAGGGTACTTGAGAGAAGAACGTGCACTTTCCCGCCAAGAAAGTTACCTCCCTCTTGAAAGGGGGCACTAACCTGCTAAGCTTCAAGCTGGCGGACTTTTGTCGATTTGCAGCTTGGGACGACTCTTACGGCTCCAAGATGAAAGCCGCATGGAGTGAGCTGGAAATTTTGGGATGCATTTCCATTTGAACAGGCCCAAACAAACATTGGACCTGTACTCAAAAAGGGCCACCGAGATGGAGAGCGCTAGAGGTTCGGTCAGAATTGGCGGGGTTCGTCTTTCAGACCTCAGGTGCCCGTTGCAGTGCTTTTGCGAGAAAACGGGGGTGGATGCGCTTCTTGTGAATTTTACCAGTTCTTCCCCC